CATGAGGGGTCTTCTGCAAACATCTATCACCTTTCAGAGAACCTTTATCCATTTGACCATCCAATGTTTTCAGAGCTCTCCAGATATATTCTTGATTTGCTTCCTCTCATTTAACTAGTTACATGCTCCCTGGTTGCAGTCCGCAGGTTTCACCACTGTCATAGAAACCTATATCCATATTGAAATACTCAAGTCAATAAACAAAATCATAGTCTTTATATTAAAGTGTACCTAAAGGAAAAACTATTTTTTTTTTTAGTTTTGGATAGAGTGGAGAGGGATTAGAACACCAATCTGTTTTTATTGCTGTCTGTGCCCGTTAGGGAGATTCACCTTCCCTATTTGTCCTGTTTACTTTTATCATCAAAAGTAAAAGAGAACCCCAAATTTTGGGTTGCCATCAGAACAGTACTAGAGAGGATCTTCCATAGTGACACTAGTTCTGCTGACCCACATGACAACCCAGGATTCCCTCATTTCCTGCTTTGGCTATGATACAGGATGTCAAGGAAAGTTAACCTTTGGGGCACAGATGGCAACAAAAAACTGACAGTGGTTATACCCTCCATTACTCTTTACAAAAGAAAACAAATGTTTTGACTTTAGTTGCACTATAAGCAATGGTGCAGGGTAGTCAATGTCACGTGGCATGGATCAACAGCAGAAGTAGAGACAATTAAAAGGCCAATAGGACAGAGAGAGGACAGGCAAATGGAATCCAGAACACAAACTAGGTAGAAACCAAAATGAAGGGCACCTTGATCTATGGGGAAATGGACACGTAGACTTAAACTAAAAAGGGCTTCCAAACCCTATGCTATCCTACCCTATGCTATGGGCTATTTTGTGTAAAACGTAGTAAGTGGGTGATACATAGTGGTGTATTGAGGTTGTGGCATTGCCCTGAAGCTTCTCCAGTTCTTGTTTTGTTGCCACAGTTTTATTGGAGGGGATACCTACCCAGCAGGTAAATGATCCTTCACTGACGCCCTTTGTTGGAATTTTGGTAGCAGGACATCTGTGAGGAACTTGTGGTTAGTTTAGGAAATAAACTATTCAGTTAGGTGTGTGCAATTGATTTATTATTGGCATGGCATAAACTTTTACTATTTGCATAGTTGTTGGTTTGCTGCTTGATTGGACTAAAATTAGCAGTTTAGCCCAATTAATCTTTGACCTTGCCTATGCAACACAAGGTGGTTTGCAGACATTATTCGGATAATGCATTAAAGCAGGGTTTCTCAACCAGGGTTCCATAGAACCCAAAGGTTTCTCCAGAGGTTGCTAGGGATTCCTTGAGCAATGATTACTTTTTGCTCTCACATAAGGACCCTTGGGTTCCTCCAGAGATTGCTTGAGCAATGTGCAGTTTCTACCTCTCAGATACAATATTTGCCTCTCAGATAAGTTCCAACTGACACCATTAGCTGTCTGTAAGGGGGTAATTCTTCCCAGTGACCAAAAGTGTTAGGAGCATTATTCCCACTGACTATCACACTAATGTATCATGAGTTGTAGACATAGTATTTTTAGCAGGGCTTCCCTAAGATGATGAAGTTATTCCAAGGGTTCCTCTGGGTTGAACAGGTTTAAGAAAGGCTTTTTTTAAATGTATAACTAAAGGCAAAACTTTTTTCTTAGTTTTGGATGGAGTGGAGAGGGATTAAAATACCTGTCAGTTTATATTGCTGTCTGTGTCCCCTTTAAGGAGATTCACACTCTCTATTTGTCCTGTTTGCCATTATCACTGAAGCTAAAAGTAAAAGGAACTCCAAATTTTGGTCTGTCCCAGGAAAAGTAGTAGGGGGCAAATCTTCCAATAGGGCTATCAGAGACCTGGGATCCCCAAGGAATTTCCTTAATTTGCAGATTTTTTTCTCACTTCCTGTTTTGGTTAAGGGACAGTAAGTAAAGGTAAATCTCCCCAATGAGACACGGATGGCAAAAAATAAAATGACAGGGGTTATAACCCTCCATTAGTCTATCCAAAATGAAAAAAAACCCCAAAAACGTTTGCCTGTAGTTCTACTTTAAAGTATGTGGTATATAAGACCAGGGGCGGACTGACAACTCATGGGGCCCCCGGGAAATAGGGGATCATGGGGCCCCTGTGTCCTTGCCCAAACTCAAAAAAGCCTATGAAAAAGGTACCAGGGGCATCTCATGGGGCCCCCTACTGACCCCGGGCCCTCGGGCAGTGCCCGAGTTTCCAAATGGTCAGTCCGCCCCTGTATAAGACTATGCCTATGCTTTTCAAAATCCAAGTGTAATCCCGTACACACGATAAGAAAATCGTACGAAAATTTTTCGCGGAACCACTGATCGAATGATTTTCTCTTCGTTGATGAGCAGGATGTTTTAACCGATTTTGTGAACCAAAAAATCCAGTTGAACAACAATGAAAAATGTTGTCGTTTCGCATATGAACAAACGATTTTCTATGCGGTGGTATGTTGGTCATCCGAAAATAATCTATCAAGCGCTATGGCGCATGAGTGGAATCAGAAGATGACCCGGATGTTTATGTCCAAGGAATCTTCGTAAACACTAATGAAAAATCCAAATGTGAAAAATAGATTGGTCTAATGAGATAATGAAACCAGAATTCTGCAGATTATATTTTATGTATTGCTATTTATGTATATAGGTCATGTAATAAACTATATTATACGCAGTGCTGGTAATTGTTGTGAAGATCGCTCGTTCTGGCCGGAAGGGCGTGGCTACAAGGTCACACGCACACCGCATCACTTCAACTTGTGCAGAAGACATCAACACTACGTATTGCCCGACGAATGATTTTTTTAGATTGGTTAACCTCCTTGGCGGTATTCCCGAGTGTAGCTCGGGGTAAAATTTGAGTACCAAGAGCGGTAACCCCGAGCTACACTCGGGCTTACCATGCGGCGTTGCTCAGGGAGTCCCTGCAGCACTTACCTTGTCCTTCGCTCCCGCGATGTGTCCCCTGCAGTGTCCCCGGCCATCTCCTCCGGCCGATGCCGGCATCCGGCTTCCGTGTTCCGGTCCCTGTGACGTCGGGACGTACGGGCACCGTAACCGGCGGCAAATTTGAAATTTTTAAAAAATTTTATTTTTTTAAAAATGATTATTACATAGTAAAACATTGCTGTTTCAATGCATTTCACATACATTTTGTCCCTACTGCTTTGTCCTGTGCCCTGCCTGCATTTTGACTGTTCTTTCTGCTTGGAAACTTAGAAAAGTCCATGGCGTCCAAAAAGCGTCCCTTTACGTCAAAAGCGGTTTTAGACCGACTAGAGAACAGCGATAGTAAATCAGAACCACTTGCAGAATTGAGTGATAATGATTCGTGGGGGAAATTCGTCATCAGACACTGAAAATGATTTTGCGACTTTGCTCAGCGATGTGCGAATTTGCCTCTGTATTTCAAATTTCAGTGTTTTTGGTTTGATTATATTATTGAATTAAATGTATTATTATTATATTATTATTTTTTATGATTATTTATTAAATTATAATTTATGATTTCGTGTTTCAAATTTTATCCTACCCGGGATGTTTACTAGACTCTTGTTCAGACAGATTTCAGTGAGTTATTCCTAAAAATTACAGCCTACAATAAAAAAACTACATATTTCCATGCAAAAAAATGGTACCGCTTTCAGCACAAAAAATCGGAAAGAATCATACCGCCGAGGAGGTTAATGTGGGCTACGATTTCGACCAACGAACGACCACCTCTCGGTCGTCGGATGACCAATCGGTCGATTTTCTAATCGTGTATTCCCACCTTAAGGCAGAGCAGGAAAATTCCTTAAGGCATCCTAACTGTGTTTTTTTTTTTTTTGCTTTTTTTTTTTTTAATTTGGCTGTTCGACCATTAGACTGTCTGTAAATACCTTTGGAATCCACTTGCACAATTTTGATTGTAGCACAGGATTATATGATAGCCAACCTTAATGTGCCAATCCTTAAAACCATTAAATGTCCAGTCTGTTTTGAATATTCCAAGCAGAGATGTAAATAAATTCCACAGGAACAACATTTTAAAAAGAAAATTATCACTATTGTCATTACTGATGATGGTAGTTGCACTTGAGTTGATTCAGGTTTGAATCAATTTTGTCCAAATATGATAATGCATGATTGTACTAGATTGTCATAAGGCATCAGAGTGATCACAAGGAAAGTGATATCCCCAAATCTGTTTTCTTCCAGAGGTGGATCTGTGTGCTGGGGTGTAGGAATGCCAGAGTACAAACAAAGCATCACAAATGAAGTCCTTTTATTTGCTGAAAATAAGTGAAACAGCATCCAACACATTTCTGGAGTCTTACAATGTGTTGTCCTTGAGGCTATAGTAACAGAAATATAAACATAATATATATTTGCCAGAAATGAGAGAATTCTAAGCCAGGGGAATACTGACTAAAAAATTGCTTCTGTGTTTGCATAAAATCAACTGTGCATTAGTGATGTCTAAAAATCCACACATTTATATGAATAATAATAAATGTTAGGGTCCTATTTCTGAAACATGCATATTAAAATTGCCTTTACTGTAGCTCTGGGGAAGATGTTATTTTAACCCCCCCCCCCAAAAAAAAAAAACAAAAATGCATTGGAATGTTTTATCCAACTTTTCTCAACTTTGTGTACTCTGGTGCTCTTACACTCCACCACACAGGTCTTGGTCATTAAAGGTGTGGTAGGTACATGTGCCTAACCAGGAGGGAGATACACTGGAGGAGACCCATCTCAAAAGTTGATATTTCCTCCCCACAGTTCCTTTCCTCTGGTTTTTCCATCAAGATCAAGATTACAACTATCCTTCCCTCCCTTCCTGCCATGGTTCTAGGTGTAACTCTGAATTCTAACCTCTCCTTTGAGCCCCACATCCAATCACTATCCAAATATTGTCGCTAGCAACTCAGTAGCATTTCCAAAATATGCTTCTTTTTACCAATGACACCACCAAGCTGCTAATTCACTCACGTGCAAGGGCGGACTGACAACTCATAGGGCCCCCGGGCAATAGGGGATCATGGGGCCCCTGTGTCCTTGCCCAAACTCAAAAAAGCCTATGAAAAAGGTACCAGGGGCATCTCATGGGGCCCCCTACTGACCCCAGTCTTGGGCAGTGCCCAAGTTTCCAAATGGTCAGTCCGTCCCTGCTCACGTGTTATCTTTTGATTTGACTTGACTAATGCAACTTCCTCCTCAATAGCCATTTTGCAGGCTACCCCATTGTGAATGCCACTGCCAGGCTTATTCAGCTTTTTAACCACCCAGTGTCTGCCACCCCTTTCTTCTTCCAATTCCTCCACTGGCTTCCAATTGCCCAACATATCAAATTCAAAATATTCACAACATACAACGGCATCAACAACCTTGCTCCAACTACATCACCAAAATATCACCCAAAACTCTTTTTCTTTGCTGCTTTCAAGACCTCCTGTTGAATAGTTCCCTTGTCACCTCCCCATATGCTTGCCTCCAGGACTTCTCCAGATCCTCTCCATTCGCTGGAATGCCCCACCCAATTTGTATGGCTATTTCCTACTCTGTCTGCCCTCCTCATCATTGGCCATTATACAGACTACTGCCCTTTAAGTCTATTATTAATGCAATTATCAAGCTTTTTATTTGGCCTTTTTAACCACTCAGTGTATGACGTCCCAATGTCTCCACTGGCTTCCAGTTGCCCAATGTATCAAATTCAAATTATTAACATCAACATACAAAGGCATTGCCAACCTTGCCTCCAGCTACACCATCAAAGGATAACCCAGAACTTCCAAGACCTCCTACTCTCTAGCCCCCTTGCCACCTGCCCACATGCTTGCCTCCAGGACTTTTCCATCTTCTGGAGCCCCCTACCCCAATTTGTATGGTCTGCCTTTAGGCAATTCCTGAAAACCCATCTTATTAGGAGCGTCCATCTCACCTCTACCCAAGAAAGGAAATTCTGATTCTCAAAGAACTCAACATCACACTGTTATTACCTTTTGTATCACCTACTCTTCCTTTTTGGATTGCAAACTCCCACATGCAGGGCCCTCCAAACCCTCTTGTCTTGAATGAACGTAAGAGTAACAAAAGGAAAGACATAATGCCTACTGAGTCCCCTTTAATATAGTGAACCATCTCATGCTAATGAGCATTTCATTGATGTCCAGCTCCTTATCTGAAAACACCTGACTGGCCAAGAGTTGTCTGCTGTACACTGTTGACTCCTATTAGAGAGATACACCAGACCAGGGGCAGACTGACCATTTGGAAACTTGGGCACTGCCCGAGGGCCCTGGGTCAGTAGGGAGCCCCATGAGATGCCCCTGGTACCTTTTTCATAGGCTTTTATGAGTTTGGGCAAGGACACAGGGGCCCCATGATCCTCTATTGCCCGGAGGCCCCATGAGTTGTCAGTCCGCCCCTGCACCAGACCACAATAAGTTTTTAGAAAGCTCTAAAGAAATTTTGACCTTGCAAAGTCAATGTCTTCTTCTGATGGTTACCCAATGGAGCAGGGGACTTTTGATGCCCTGGTGCTTTAAGGCAACGTTCTTATGTTCTCCACCACTGTACAGCCCTATTGTGCTGTCCTTGCAGTAGGGAGCCTCATAGGCCAGCATCAGGTTGCACTTGGGTCGAATCTGTCAAATCTCTTCTGGCCGCATTACTCTGCAGTGGGTGATAAATGTCCACAAACTCTAAAGTTCAGAAAAGTTGGCTCTGTTTTCTATCAGCTCTTTGGGCCTCTTAAGCGTTCCCCTCTCAGCCACAATTGGAAGCAATCCGTTCATCTCCTGAAAAGATCAGATGAAATGTCATGGAATTCATTACAATCTGGCAGAGCGCTACAGACCGGTCTCGCCGTCGCTTCTCTGGCTTAGTGCAGCTCCACACCTGTCAGCACTTCCCCGAGCCCTGATCAATCAACGGGACGAGGTTCTGAGAACGCAAAAACTTTTCAACTAAACGGCAAACTTTACTCTTCCTCCAAAAATTTTGGAAACTCTCCCCGGAGCTCTTCATTAACAAATATTACATTGGCATAATGTAGCGTTGTGGTCAGCTTTGTTATTTATTTTATAGTTTTTGCAACTTTATTACCAAAATGCTATTTATATTTCAGAAAGGAAAGCAATGTTTTTGGTATTCTATCACCAATAATGCATTTCATGTAGCAATGAATATATACACTCACAGGCCACTTTATTAGGTACACCTGTTCAATTGCTTGGTAACACAAATTGCTAATCAGCCAATCCCATGGCAGCAACTCAATGCATTTAGGCATGTAAATGTGTTGAAGACGATTTGCTGAAGTTCAAACTGAGTATCAGAATGGGAAAGAAAGGGGATTTAAGTGACTTTGAACTTGACATGATTATTGGTGATAGACAGGCTGGTCTGAGTATTTCAAAATCTGCTGATCTATTGGTCTACTGATCTATTGATCTACCTTTTTGATGTCAGAGGTCAGAGTTGAAAACCGAGTCTCAGAATGGGAAAGAAAGGGGATTTAAGTGACTTTGAACGTGGTATGGTTGTTGGATCCAGATGAACTGGTCTGAGTATTTCAAAATCTGCTGATTTACGGGAATTTTCACACAAAACCATCTCTAGGGTTTACAGAGAATGATCCGAAAAAGAGAAAATATCCAGTGAGCTGCAGTTGTAGCGACGAGTATACCTTTTTGATGTCAGAGGTCAGAGTTGAAAACCGAGTATCAGAATGGGAAAGAAAGGGGATTTAAGTGACTTTGAAAGTGGTATGGTTGTTGGATCCAGATGGACTGCTCTGAGTATTTCAAAATTTGCTGATTTACGGGGATTTTCACACACAACCATCTCTAAGGTTTACAGAGAATGGTCTGAAAAAGAGAAAATATCCAGTGAGCTGCAGTTGTAGCGACGAGTATACCTTTTTGATGTCAGAGGTCAGAGTTTAAAACCGAGTATCAGAATGGGAAAGAAAGGGAATTTAAGTGACTTTGAACTTGGTATGGTTGTTGGATCCAGATGGGCTGGTCTGAGTATTTCAAAATCTACTGATTTACGGAGATTTTCACACAAAACCATCTCCAGGGTTTACAGAGAATGGTCCGAAAAAAGAGAAAATATCCAGTGAGCTGCAGTTGTAGCGACGAGTATACCTTTTTGATGTCAGAGGTCAGAGTTGAAAACCGAGTATCAGAATGGGAAAGAAAGGGAATTTAATAAAGTGGCCAGTGAGTGTAGGTATGGAATGGATGATTAGGACTGATTTATCCTTATACCACCAAATCATTTATATCTTCTCTTTTTTTAATTATTATTTGTAACAAATTTTACACAAAAACATTCATTACAGGATGCATTCATGAAGTTCAGTTTACAAGGCATGCTTGGCTTTCTAATGAGAAAGCACAGCAAGGGCTAATGCATTGTGGCAACCTCTCCAAACCAACCAACTAAAGTATACTTATTATGTTTGCCCCTTTAAGTTGACCTAATAGATTCCACTCCCTGCATCCTTTTTGCAGCTACTTCCTGTCTACACGCATCAGCTACACCTCCTTTTTAGGGTGGAAAGCAGCAATGGTGGACCATGCCTTCTCAACGTGTGTCAACGTGGCAGCCTGTAGTCTCCACAAAGTGACTATATAAAAGGCTGACAATGAAGAAGAACATTTGGGAGACAGGGACTGAGTGTCAGTGGTGTATTTAGGTTTTGTGCTGCCCTAGGCAACACACAAATCACCCCCCCCCTTCCCCATGGAGAGAGCCTGACACCAAGCAATACCACCACCCCCAGCGAGAGAAATACATTCACCTTCACAGTTCCAAATATACAGACAAGCAGCCCACAGCCTCTCTCGGATGCCACCTGGTCCCCATGCTGCGTGTGTCCCTTCTTCAGGGGGGTGTTTCTGCCCCTCTGAAAAATGCCGCCCTAGGCAAATGCCTTGTTTGCCTTGTGGTAAATACACCCCTGCTGAGTGTTGTCACCCTTGGGTCTTGGGCTGTGGCTGATTGACCTCAGTTTGATGGTGCCTGCATTTGTTCAGGTCAATAGCCACTTGGCAAAGTCAGCAACATGAAAGCAAGGAACTGGTTTTAGCAGGGGTTCCCCGAGACCTGAAAATTATGTCAAGGGTTCCTCTGGGATGGTTTCTTAACCAGGGATCCATGTAACCCTAGACTTCCTCCAGAGGTTGCTAGGGGTGAAGGGGTAATTGAGCTGTGGCTGATTGACCTTCCACCCCATCTAATGGTGTCTGGATAGTTCCTGGTCCATCACCACTGGGCAGAGTCAGCAGTATGACACCAAGGAATTAGTTTTAGCAGGGAATTTCCTCATACCTAAAATTATTTCAAGGGTTCCTTTAGGGCAGGGTTTCTCCTCCAGGGTTCTGTGGAACAATAGAGCTCCTCCAGAGGATGCTAGGGGTTCCTTGAGCTCCTTGTGTTTTTCAACCAGGGCTCTGTGGAACCCTAGAGCTCTTCCAGAGGTTGCTAGGGGTTCCTTGAGCTGTGACTGATTGACCTTTTATCTGATGGTGCCTGCATTGTTCCAGGTCGATCACCACTTGGCAGTCAGCAACATGACATCAAGGAATTACCGTATTTGCCGGCGTATAAGACGACTGGGCGTATAAGACGACCCCCCTACTTTTCCTGCTAAAATGTAGTGTTTGGGCTATACTCGCCGTATAAGACTACCCCTCTTCCAATGCACACCAGTGGGAGGAATAGTGCCCCATCATTGATGTCAGTGGGAGGAATAGTGCCCCATCATTGGTGTCAGTGGGAGGAATAGTGCCCCATCATTGGTATCAGTGGGAGGAATAGTGCCCCATCATTGGTGTCAGTGGGAGGAATAGTGCCCCATCATTGGTATCAGTGGGGGGAATAGGTGCCCCATCATTGGTATCAGTGGCAGGAATGGTGCCCCATCATTGGTATCAGTGGCAGGAATAGTGCCCCATCATTGGTGTCAGTGGGAGGAATGGAGTCCCATCATTGGTGTCAGTGAGGGGTGGAATAGTGCCCCATCATTGGTGTCAGTGGGGGGTGGAATAGTGCCCCATCGTTGGTGTCAGTGGGGGGGGAATAGTGCCCCATCGTTGGTGTCAGTGGGGGGGGGAATAGTGCCCCATCGTTGGTGTCAGTGGGAGGAATAGTGCCCCATCGTTGGTATCAGTGGGAGGAATAGTGCCCCATCATTGGTATCAGTGACACCAATGATGGGGCACTATTCCTCCCACTGAGACTTGCTGACCCTGTTCTCGTATGGTGCTGCTGCAGCCAGCATATGTGGTTGCAGCAGCACCTCTACACAGAACACTTACCTGCTGCTCCGGCACTCAATTTTCGCGGGGCCGCTCGGCTCCGCCCCCTCGCCGGTGATTGGCTGCCTGTGTGCCTTTCCTGAGCTACAGTTCTGGCGGCCAATCACCAGTGAGGAGGCGGAGCCGAGCAGCCGCACGAACATCCAGTGGCCGAACTGAAGGAGACGCCGCGCTTCCTGGACCGGATCGTCGTGGGACTGGATCCAGGTAAGAGACATCAGCCCCTGCAAACCCCTGTACTTAATGCCGCAGCCCCCCTAACATGTGTACCGGCGTATAAGACGACCCCCGACTTTTGAGAAGATTTTCAAGGGTCAAAAAGTCGTCTTATACGCCGGCAAATACGGTAGTTTTAGCAGGAGTTCCCTGAGACCTGCAAATTATTTAAGGGTTCCTCTAGGGCAAGGTTTCTCAACCAGGGCTCTGTGGAACCCTAGAACTCCTCCAGAGGTTGCTAGGGGTTCCTTGAGCTGTGACTGATTGACCTTCCATCTGATGTTGCCTGCATTGTTCCAGGTCCATCACTTCTTGACAGTCAGCAACTTGACATCAAGGAATTCGTTTTAGCAGGAGTTTCCTGAGACCTGCAAATTATTTCAAGGGTTTCTCTAGGGCAGAGTTTTTCAACCAGGGCTCTGTGGAACCCTAGAGCTCTTCCAGAGGTTGCTAGGAGTTCCTTGAGCTGTGACTGATTGACGTTTTATCTGATGGTGCCTGCATTGTTCCAGGTCCATCACCACTTGGCAGTCAGCAACATGACATCAAAGACTTAGTTTTAGCAGGGGTTCCCTGAGACCTGAAAATTATTTTAAGGGTTCCTCTAGGGCAAGGATTCTCAACCAGGGCTCTGTGGAACCCTAGAGCTCCTCCAGAGGTTGCTAGGGGTTCCTTGAGCTGTGACTGATTGACCTTTTATGTGATGGTGCCTGCATTGTTCCAGGTCCATCACCACTTGGCAGTCAGCAACATGATATCAAGGACTTAGTTTTAGCAGGGGTTCCCTGAGACCTGCAAATTATTTCAAGGGTTCCTCTAGGGCAAGGATTCTCAACCAGGGCTCTGTGGAACCCTAGAACTCCTCCAGAGGTTGCTAGGGGTTCCTTGAGCTGTGACTGATTGACCTTCCATCTGATGGTGCCTGCATTGTTTCAGGTCCATCACCACTTGACAGTCAGCAACTTGACATCAAGGAATTAGTTTTAGCAGGAGTTCCCTGAGACCTGCAAATTATTTCAAGGGTTCCGCTAGGGCAAGGTTTCTCAACCAGGGCTCTGTGGAACCCTAGATCTCCTCCAGAGGTTGCTAGGGGTTCCTTGAGCTGTGACTGATTGACCTTCCATCTGATGGTGCCTGCATTGTTCCAGGTCCATCACCACTTTACAGTCAGCAACTTGACATCAAGGAATTAGTTTTAGCAGGAGTTCCCTGAGACCTGCAAATTATTTCAAGGTTTCTTCTAGGGCAAGGATTCTCAACCAGGGCTCTGTGGAACCCTAGAGCTCCTCCAGAGGTTGCTAGGGGTTCCTTGAGCTGTGACTGATCGACCTTTTATCTGATGGTGCCTGCATTGTTCCAGGTCCATCACCACTTGACAGTCAGCAACTTGACATCAAGGAATTAGTTTTAGCAGGAGTTCCCTGAGACCTGCAAATTATTTCCAGGGTTCCTCTAAGGCAAGGATTCTCAACCAGGGCTCTGTGGAACCCTAGAGCTCCTTCAGAGGTTGCTAGGGGTTCCTTGAGCTGTGACTGATTGACCTTCTATCTGATGGTGCCTGCATTGTTCCAGGTCCATCACCACTTGACAGTCAGCAACTTGACATCAAGGAATTAGTTTTAGCAGGAGTTCCCTGAGACCTGAAAATTATTTCAAGGATTCCTCTAGGGCAAGGTTTCTCAACCAGGGCTCTGTGGAGCCCTAGAGCTCCTCCAGAGGTTGCTATGGGTTCCTTGAGCTGTGACTGATTGACCTTCCATCTGATGGTGCCTGCATTGTTCCAGGTCCATCACCACTTGACAGCAACTTGACATCAAGGAATTAGTTCTAGCAGGAGTTCCCTGAGACCTGCAAATTATTTCAAGAATTCCTCTAGGGCAAGGTTTCTCAACCAGGGCTCTCTGGAACCCTAGAACTCCTCCAGAGGTTGCTAGGGGTTCCTTGAGCTGTGACTGATTGACCTTCCATCTGATTATGCCTGCATTGTTCCAGGTCCATCACCACTTGACAGCAACTTGACATCAAGGAATTAGTTTTAGCAGGAGTTCCCTGAGACCTGCAAATTATTTCCAGGGTTCCTCTAGGGCAAGGATTCTCAACCAGGGCTCTGTGGAACCCTAGAGCTCCTCCAGAGGTTGCTAGGGGTTCCTTGAGCTGTGACTGATTGACCTTCCATCTGATGGTGCCTGGATTGTTCCAGGTCCATTACCACTTGACAGTCAGCAACTTGACATCAAGGAATTAGTTTTAGCAGGAGTTCCCTGAGACCTGCAAATTATTCCAAGGGTTCCTCTAGGGCAAGGATTCTCAACCAGGGCTCTGTGGAACCCTAGAGCTCCTTCAGAGGTTGCTAGGCGTTCCTTGAGCTGTGACTGATTGACCTTTTATCTGATGGTGCCTGCATTGTTCCAGGTCCATCACCACTTGACAGTCAGCAACTTGACATCAAGGAATTTGTTTTAGCAGGAGTTCCCTGAGACCTGCAAATTATTTCAAGGGTTCCTCTAGGGCAATGATTCTCAACCAGGGCTCTGTGGAACCCTAGAGCTCCTCCAGAGGTTGCTAGGGGTTCCTTGAGCTGTGACTGATTGACCTTCCATCTGATGGTGCCTGGATTGTTCCAGGTCCATTACCACTTGACAGTCAGCAACTTGACATCAAGGAATTAGTTTTAGCAGGAGTTCCCTGAGACCTGCAAATTATTCCAAGGGTTCCTCTAGGGCAAGGATTCTCAACCAGGGCTCTGTGGAACCCTAGAGCTCCTTCAGAGGTTGCTAGGCGTTCCTTGAGCTGTGACTGATTGACCTTTTATCTGATGGTGCCTGCATTGTTCCAGGTCCATCACCACTTGGCAGTCAGCAACATGACATCAAAGACTTAGTTTTAGCAGGGGTTCCCTGAGACCTGAAAATTATTTCAAGGGTTCCTCTAGGGCGGGGTTTCTCAACCAGGGTTCAAAAAAAACCCTAAGATGCCTCCAGAGTTTGCTAAAGGTTCACTGAGGAATGAGCAATTTCTATCTCTCAGGTGAATACCACTGACACCAATAATCTTTTAATCTATCTGTAAAGGGATTGTTCCCAATAAACACCAATGTAAGGAACATTCTTCTGACTGACCATCACACTAATGTACCGTGAGCTGTAAATATATAAAAAATTATTAGCAAGGGTTCCCTGGAGCCAAAAAGTTAGATCAAAAGTTTCTCCATGTTAAAAAGTTTTTTAGAGAGGCTGCTCTAAGGTGGAAAGAGAGTTGAGAAAGGCTGGCTTAGATAAAAAAAGCTATCAAGATTTCAATTTTCCCAGTACTGTTCAGAAGATGACTCCTGCCAATGTTCAGCTTCTGACTTTTCAGGAGGTGGAGCCGACTCAAGGCCGTGGACCAGTGTACACGACTTTATGAGTGATTTTTTTGTCATGCTGTCCAGGAAACATTGAAACTCAAATCAAGTCATTCTGTGTATTGCAGTTGTATCTATTTACCCATGATAACTTGCATCCAGGTTTGGGAAAAAAAAAAAACTTTCACAGTACCTCAGGGGTGTGGGGCTACAAACATTTTGCCAAATATTCTATGCTTTACAATTCCCGACGAATACCTTTTTTTGTAAAAATGTCATCTTTAGACTGCAGTGGGATGAACAGAAGCGGACAAATCCTTTCTGAAATTTCAAGGATATGTATAATTAGACTGCAAAGGTTTTTGGTTTATGGATTTAGGAACTCCTTGCCTGAAATATTAAAGTACACTAGCAGGGGCGGACTAACAACTCATGGGGCCCCAGGCAATAGGGGATCATGGGGCCACTGTGTCCTTGCCCAAACTCAAAACAACCTTTGAAAAAGGTACCAGGGGCATCTCATGGGGCCCCCTACTGACCCTGGGCCCTCGGGCAGTGCCTGAGTTTCCAAATGGTCAGTTCGTCCCTGCTCCTGCCAATGTTCAGCTTCTGACTTTTCAGGAGGTGGAGCCGACTCAGGGCTGTGGACCAGTGTACACGACTTTATTAGTGATTTTTTTGGCATGCTGTCCAGGAAACATTGAAACTCAAATCAAGTCATTCTGTTTATTGCAGTTGTACCTTTTTACCCATGATAACTTGCATCCAGGTTTGGGAAAAAAAAACTTTGACAGTACCTCAGAGGTGGGGCTACAAACATTTTGCCAAATAATCTATGCTTTACAATTCCTGACTAATACTTTTTTTTTGTAAAAATGTCATCATTAGACGGCAGTGGGATGAACAGAAGCGGACAAATCCTTTCTGAAATTTCAAGGATATGTATAATTAGACTGTAAAGGATTTTGGTTTATGGATTTAGGAACTCCTTGCCTGAAATATTAAAGTACACTAGCAGGGGTGGACTGACAACTCATGGGGCCCCCGGGCAATAGGGGATCACGGGCCCCTGTGTCCTTGCCCAAACTCAAAAAAAACTATGAAAAAGGTACCAGGGGCATCTCATGGGGCCCCCTACTGACCCTGCGCCCTCTCGGGCAGTGCCCGAGTTTCCAAATGGTCAGTCCGCCCCTGTACACTAGTATTAAACTCTCTTTTTTTAGTTTAACACATTGAACAAAATAAAATAAACATTCCCCAGGAAACTGTTTGTTAAAATTCATAACAAAACACTTGAAGTTTGTAACTTTCTGATGTTCCAGTGCTGCTTCCCTGAACTTTCAGTCTTCATATAAAAGACACACAATAATGCAGCGTTCTAATGATGAATATATTATTAAAGGCATTTGTTTTAATGTGAGCAATGTAAGTAACTGAATGTGACTTGTTGTAAGCTAGTTCTGCTGTTCAGAGTGGGGTTGCAGCATAATGAGTCGGCAGCAGGGATACAGTACAACAGGCAAGCTGATAGGAGGAGAGAGCAGAATGACAAAGAGATGATCAGTCTGCTGCTTCTCCATTCACTGTCCAGTCCCAGGCAGAGAATGATCCTCTCCCTTTCTAGACAAGGTTTTGCTGTGTGGCGGAGCTGTATACATCTCAGGACTGGATGGAACTGCGGCAGAGAATGAACAGATCCTCTCCCTTTCTAGACAAGGCTGTGTGGCAGAGCTGTTTAAATCTCAGGACTGGACAGAACTGCAGCAGAGAATGATCAGGTCCTTTGCTTGGTAGGCAAGACTGTGCTTTGTGGTAGAGCTGTATACATCTCAGGACTGGATAGAACTGCGGCAGAGAATGAACAGATCCTCTCCCTTTCTAGACAAGCTTTGCTGTGTGGCAGAGCTGTTTAAATCTCAGGACTGGATGGAACTGCAGCAGAGAATGATCAGATCCTCTCCCTTTCTACACAGGGCTTTACTGTGTGGCAGAGCTGTTTAAATCTCAGGACTGGACGGAACTGCAGCAGATCAGATCCTTTGCTTGGTAGGCAGGACTGTGCTTTGTGGCAGAGCTGTGTAAATCTCAGGACTGGATCAGGGGCGGACTGACCATTTGGAAACTCGGGCACTGCCTGAGGGCCTGGGGTCAGTAGGGGGCCCCATGAGATGCCCCTGGTACCTTTTTCATAGGCTTTTTTGAGTTTGGGCAAGGACACAGGGACCCCATGATCCCCTATTGCCCGGGGGCCCCATGAGTTGTCAGTCCGCCCCTGGACTGGATGGAACTGCAGCAGAGAATGATCAGATCCTCTCCCTTTCTAGACAGGGATTTTCTGTGTGGCAGAGCTGTTTAAATCTCAGGACTGGATGGAACTGAAACAGAAAATGATCAGATCCTCTACCTTTCTAGACAAGGCTTTGCTGTGTGGCCAGGGGTGGACTGACAACTCATGGTGCCCCCGGGCAATAGGGGATCATGGGGCCCCTGTGTCCTTGCCCAAACTCAAAAAAGCCTATGAAAAAGGTACCAGGGGCATCTCATGGGGCCCCCTACTGACCCAGGGCCCTCGGGCAGTGCCTGAGTTCACAAATGGTCAGTCCGCCCCTGTGTGTGGCGGAGCTGTATACATCTCAGGACTGGATGGAACTGCAGCAGAGAATGATCAGATCCTCTACCTTTCTAGACAGGGCTATGCTGTGTGGCAGAGCTGTATAAATCTCAGGACAGGATTGTACTGCAGCAGAGAACAGTCAGGTCCACTCCCTAGCTGTTGTAAATGTTGGGCTTGGATGGAACTGCAGCAGAGAGTTATCAGATCCCCTCCTTTGCTAAACAAAGCTTTGCTGTTGTAAATGTTAGCAGAGAACGATCAGGTTTGCTAGACAATATCTTTGCTTTGTAGCAGAGCTGTGTAAATCTCAGGACTGGATGGAACTGCAGCAAAGAATGATCAAGAAACAAACCTCTCCCTTACTAGACAGGCTGTGAGTAGCAGAGCTGTACAAATCTCAGAACTGGATGGAACTGCAGCAGAGAACAATCAAGAAACAAACCTCTCCCTTACTAGACAGGCTGTGAGTAGCGGAGCTGTGCAAATCTCAGGACTGGATGGAACTGCAGCAGAGAACAATCAAGAAACAAACAATCTGTGAAGAAAAAGGACTGGATCTCCCAGAGAACAATCAAGAAACAAAGGCTCCCTTACTGAGCAGCGGAGCAGCGGAGTGCAAATCTCAGGACTGGATGGAACTGCAGCAGAGAACAATCAAGAAACAAACCTCTCCCTTACTAGACAGGCTGTGAGCAGCGGAGCTGTGCAAATCTCAGAACCGGATGGACAGAAATACAAATCCCTTTGGCAGCTTTCATATATGCACTTCATCTACACATTTAACTGTTTGCCCGGAGTTCAGCTTTGAGCTATATTATGCCCTCAGCCTACGGAAGAGACTAGTTAATGCCCGACCATTAAATGCGCTATCTGGGATGGCAATCCGATGACCTCGGGAGTTATGGGATGCACCAGGACCTGTCAGCTCCAGTCAATACTATGCACATGAGATCTATTCATTAGGCATTCACTGTAATGAGCGGAGCCCCCGGCCAGCGGTGACATACTGCGGTGACAGGAGGCAGACCACGGCGCGCTGGGTCCTGCGTCTGCACAAAGTCGCTCTGCACTGCAGTATCTCAATCTAACGAGCTGCAATGGCCTCATAAACACAGAAGCCTCCCCGTTATTGCTACAGCAGACATCGTAACCTTTGCGGATCAGCAAATGATTCTTGCCGTGCGGTTATCTGCTCCGCGACCGGCTCACCGGGGCTGATTACAACAATGGAGTCCTTCCTAATCAGACCCGGCTTTGTAATTATCCATCATTCATTGGAGGCTGTGCGGGGACTGCGTGGGTCCCTGACTTCACACTGAACCTGGAAGGTAGACAGTTCATTACAAAGTGTCAGCCCTGGCGGTGACAACACTTATCACCATGATTTCCTGTAATAGTTCGGAATTCTGATAATAGCTGGTTGAGCAAAGTAAAGTTCCCCGCGTTCAGAGGAATGCTTCACATGTATGTTTCCTGTAGGAGAGAAGAACGAGAAAATAACTGGAGCCATTTGTCTGCACGGGGAACAGGCACACGGTATGGTGCAACTCCGGGCGCTAAGGCAGTGCACTCTCCAAACTGCGGCCCTTTGGTGGCCTCTATCCGGCCCTCGGGGTACTATTCCTTCCACTGACACCAACAAGGAGGCGCCATTTCTTCCACTGATACCAATGATGAGGCACAATTCCTCCTACTGATATAAACAATTAGGCACTATTCCTCCAACTAATTCCAAGGATGGGGCACTATTCATCCCACTGACACCAGTGATGGGGCACTATTCCTCCCACTGATACCAATGATGGGGCACTATTCCTCCCCACTAAATACCAATGATGGGCACTATTCCTCCCACTGATACCAATGACGGGGCACTATTCCTCCCACTGACACCAATGATGGGGCACTATTCCTCCCACTGATACCAATGATGGGGCACTATTCCTCCCACTGACACCAATGATGGGACACTATTCCTCCCACTGACACCAATGACGGGACACTATTCCTCCCGCTGATACCAATGACGGGGCACTATTCCTCCCACTGACACCAATGATGGGACACTATTCCTCCCACTGATACCAATGATGGGACACTATTCCTCCCACTGACACCAATGACGGGACACTATTCCTCCCGCTGATACCAATGACGGGGCACTATTCCTCCTCCCCACTGACACCAATGATAGGGCACTATTCCTCTCACTGACATCAATGATGGGGCACTATTCCTCCCACTGACATCAATGATGGGGCACTATTCCTCCCACTGACACCAATGATAGGGCACTATTCCTCTCACTGACATCAATGACGGGGCACTATTCCTCCCACTGACACCAATGACGGGGCACTATTCCTCCCACTGATACCAATGATGGGGCACTATTCCTCCCCACTGATACCAATGATAGGACACTATTCCTTCCCCTGACACCAATGACGGGGCACTATTCCTCCCACTGACAGCAATGATGGGGCACTATTCCTCCCACTGATACCAATGATGGAGCACTATTCATCCCCACAATGACACCAATGATGGGCACTACTATTCCTCCCACTGATACCAATGATGGGGCGCTATTCCTCCCACTGACACCAATGATGGGGCACTATTCCTCCCACTGATACCAATGATAGGACACTATTCCTCCCCCTGACACCAATGATGGGGCACTATTCCTCCCACTGATACCAATGATGGGGCACTATTCCTCCCACTGATACCAATGATTGGGCACTATTCCCCCCACTGACACCAATGATGGGACACTATTCCTCCCACTGATACCAATGATTGGGCACTATTCCTCCCACTGACACCAATGATGGGGCACTATTCCTCCCACTGATACCAATGATGGGGCACTATTCCTCCCACTGACAGCAATGATGGGCACTATTCCTCCCACTGACAGCAATGATGGGGCACTATTCCTCCCACTGATATAAACAATTAGGTACTATTCCTCTATTGGGTCTGTGCACCTGCTGTGCCCATTATGAGGGGCTCCCACCATCCCTACTCTGAGTCCCTGGGTCTGTACACCTGCTGTGCCCTTTATACCACTATCCCTGGGTTGAGTCCAAAGTGAGTACACCTTTATGAGGGGTTCCCGCCATCCCTACGCTGAGTTCCTGGGTCT